ATGAAAGAGTGAGAGACAGAGGATCTCAGATATCAACAGATAGAGATAGAGTGTCGTCCTGTGGGGTGAATCCAGTTTAAATTGGCTGCTCTCCGAGCTCTGGATTAGACCTGGGCTTAATACCTTTACACTAAAAGGCCTGTCCGTTCCCTCCGAGGGCAATCTGCTGCAGGAACACACCCGGCTTTAATCCACAGCAACAACAACAACAACAACAGTTTATCTGGCTGAAGCTCACCGAGGCAGATCATCCTCGCTCCAGCCACGCTTCTCATCAACTCAGCGTTTACACGTTTTTAAATGGGGCCTAAAAAGAGCTGATATAGGAAACGTAGACATGATTCAATCCCAGTTTTCTTCAACGTGGAGGAAAAACTCCTTTCAGCAATTCCACGAGTTTTCAGTGAAACAAACACAGATTGTTTCAAGAATAAGAATCTGATATCACCATAATAACGTCATAATTCATTAAAATCTATATTGATCCGTCTTTTTCTGCTTCAAATCTCCGTCAGTGAAGTAAGTTTCACTCCTGATGATAAAACCAGCGACAGCATCACGACAATCTCTGTGAATTCAGCGCGAAACTCAAAAACCCTCATTCATCATTTCTAATGAATCTTCACGTCCGAGATTCCACAGATTCAAAACGTTGGTTCTGAACAGTTCGTGGTAAGAAGCAGCTGAACTGCTGAGGCGGAGAATCATCGGTGCAGAACACGTTTGGAGAGATTTCATTACACCGACAGCTGCTGCGTGTGAGCTTCAATTCTCCCAATGAAACTGCAGCAGGTGGAGAATCTCCACTGACGTCAGCCACGTCAGGAGCTGGTTCCGGTGGATGATCGGTCTCTGACTCTCCGACTGCACCATTTCTCTAAAACCCTCTGAGCAGATCTCAGATATTCAGTTTGGCCTCGAGCTGACAAACTATTGATTTGATTTTTATCACAATCTTTTGTTTTGCAGCTGTAAAATAAAAAGGAGAGTTTTCAGCATCAATAAATCCAATTTATCCCAAACAGAGAGAAGAAGAGCAGCGTCTCCTTTTCTCTCCTCGTCGATAGCTGTGATATCTTCTGCTGCTCTGAGGTCACATTTCTGTTTTCAGCCGCTGTCGTTAAATTGAAACGACCAAATGTGAGTTGACCTCCACAGCAGAGTCAGAGAGAGACGGACGAATCGGACGGAACCAAAAAAAACACGGCGACCGATTAAACAAAAGACAAAACGTTGTGGACGATATCAAAATAATCTGCGACGGCATTGAAATATCATCAAGCTGCAAAGAATGTTGTTGTTTATACAAACACACATTTTCACAGAGAGAAGGTTTCCAACATCCCCAGAATAAAACTACTTCCTGTTTGTGAGCTTGAACTTTGTGCATCAGCTGTTCTAGTTTCATTTGATCTGTGTTAGTTTCACGTTGTCAATCAGACGTACCTGTGCTTGACTCTGATTGGTTCGTAGACAGCGTCTGACGTGGGCGTGTTGTCAGGTGNTTAATCAGATAGATATTGGGGGGGACATTTTGAGCATATCTGAATATTGGGGGGGACATGTCCCCCCCAATGTATATGGTGATTTAGGCCCTGGTTTCAACCCCACTGTGCATTGTCCAATCCCCAAATTCATCAGGCTTCTACAGAGCCTTGACCTGAACAGATCTATTAGTCTGTAACGATAGTTATAACATCACCTACTGGCAACAGGAAGCAAGTCTCTTTTTACAACTTTAATTCAATTTACATGTAATTTTCACCTTTCACTTGATGGCATCGACCATGATGCATGGCCTGAACAGTGCTGCTTTGCAGCACTAGTTATAATTACTGTTCCACAAACTTAAGACTTTGTACTTTCTTTATTTCATAAAACACATCAATACACCTTAAAAAACAAAACACACAAACAAAAAAGATGCACCATATGAGAAATCAACAATGGTGCTCGACTTTCAACAAGCCACCACCTTCAATATAACATTTATTAGACCTGGCATTGCACTACCAAAACTAGTGGTTTTCAAACTAATAGTTCATTTAAAAATTAAAATAATTAAGTTTCAGGAGGCAAGAGGAATAAATAAGATAAAAATTCAAATGTGGATCCATTCACTGTTACTGTACTTTTAAGTTATAGTTGACCCAAAAAATTAAATGCACTCATTATCTACTAACTATTCTGCCGATATCATCTCTACCTAATGTGAATCAGCTACATTTATTCATGACAAAGGAAATAAGATAAAATATGATGTCAAATTATTTCTATGGATGTGTGTTAAAAAAAAAAAGTGCCAAGATATTTGTCAGTAAAAAAAGGTGCCAAAGTCTCCCATGCCATTACGTCTGAACTGGTTTCCTTGAATGGAGATGAAAATCTGGTGGTCCATCAGATCCTGGACCGCTTGACTGCAAGTCTCCTTGTTTCTGCTCATTTGACGACTGAATTGCCATCTCCTGCCTGAGAAAGAGGCTATGTCACCATCTGTGCTGTTGTTCTCTTTTGACTTGGGCTGAGCTGCTGAGCTGCTGGAGTTTGGGCTTGCGAAGGATGTTGAGACAAGGAGAGGATCTAAAACTCCTGCCTGCTGTCCATCTTCAGCTGTCTCTCCAGCAGAGTCTTTTACAGGGTCATCTGGGAACAGAGGATCAGTTAAACTCTTTCTGTATTCATTTTTCTTCTGAACATACCTGCTGGCTTTGGATCAGGAAATAGAACTGGCGAATCACTGACCAGAAGGTCGTGGGTTCGATCCTAGTCTCCCACACACTGAACCCCGAATTGTGCCTGATAGCTGTGCAGGCAGTGTGTGATTGATGTGTGATAGAGAAGGTGCAGCACATAGATGCACTGAAGCAAATGTGTGTGTGAATGGGTAGATGGCAAAACTGAACATAAATACAGACCATTTACCATTCCCTCTGCTTCATTTTGTCTCATTATTTAATGATACATTGTGACTGTATAAGCAACAATGCCTACCTTCATTTCTGTTCAAAGGAGCTCTGCGTTGAACTCCTGTGTTGGGCTTCACGACAATAACTCCATAGCCTTCATTATTGTGGATTACATTGTTCTCCATGGTGATGGTTGGCATCACATCCAGCTCATCAGCAAAATCCTGCATGTTAGATTTTAAATGTCACATTGATTAATGACACTGGTTTTTCAGATATAAGGAACAGGACTCCACTTTAGCTGCCTATAGTCCAATTTCTAAGTGTGTTAAACATGTGATTCATAAATGTGACCAGGTTTTCACATCTAACCACTGTGTTAAATGAGCTCCTAGATTCTGTTAGAGCAGAGTGTTGAATGTAAGAAACCATCAGGACAAGGCTGCTGTGAATTTAAAGCCCCTTTTCTACTGGTGAAAAAGCTTACATCTGGCTTTTATCAAACGGGTTTACGAGAGTTAAAATCTGCTTATACTTGCTAATTTCAGTAAAAGTATAACCAAGCAAATTTTGGTCTATTGGCAGTTTTACTCACAATGACTGTATCGTTCATTAGCATCACAAGATGTCCCTTAACAGGTACAAGTACTCATTCTAAAGGACTAAACATATCACCATTTTGTGGTTTAGTTAATTTATTTATTAAATTGAAAAACTACTGTTTGAGAACATACATTTTCTATTGTGAATCATGAGTGATCTCAAGTGGCCAGTAATTTCATTATAATAAAGTTTCAACTAAAATGTATTAGAGTTGAAGTTTACATTCGCTGTCTGGGAGGCAATGAATAATCATTAAGTTTGATTACCAATATGAGCACCTAAATGTTGTCTGGCTTGAATGAATATTCTGCATTGCCATGCGTTGGTGATAATGATACGTTTGTGGGTTTTTTATTACTCTTTTGTGTTACTCTCTCCTGCTGCAAGTCTCTTCTCACCTTTATGAGGATTCCGTCCTTACAGTGATGGATGCCATTACTAATTAGACTGCAAACACTGCCAGGGTAAATCTCCACACCAGCCCCCTGTACAGAACACACAGCAGCATAACTAAGAACAATCAAAGAATCACTGTAAATGATACCCAGAAAGTGTCAGTCAGGCTACTTAGTCAGAAATACATGAGGGCCGAACTTAATCCTTTCTGCAATCAACCTACATGTCTTTTGGGGGGGGGGGGTCAAAGTAGAAAGATTGAGCATGTTATCAAACAGAAGCGTATTTCCATATCCAGCAGTTAAAAAGAAACATGATCATTAATGTGGAATTGGTTTTTCTGTCAACCTGATGAATCTAGTGTTTAATCCCTTTAAGCCTTTTTTTGAACTCCACTGTAATTGCTCCATGATGTTTACCTTCTGTTCTCAACTATGTCTACCTGTTGTTTGCTGCTGAGCAAGAGTGTTAGGTTGTTTGGCATGATGACTCTAATCACTTTGTTCAACTTCAGGAACAACATCAAGGCCTGGATGACCCAAAACTTCTTACTTCCAGCTCCACTGTGAGGAAACTTGGAGTTATGTTTGACCATGTCATTTGACCCACATACTGTATAAAACAAGTCTCTAGGAGCGCTTTCTTCCACCTGCGCAATATTAGAAAATTAGAAACATCCTGTATCAGAAGGATGCTGAAAAACTAGTCCACACATTTGTTACCTCTAGACTAGATTACTGTAAATCTTTGTTATCAATATGTCACACTTAGTCGGTAAAAAGTCTCCAGGTAGTCCAAAATGCTGCAGCACGAGTGTTGACAGGAACTAGAAGGAGAGATCATATTACTCCTGTCTTAGGTTCTCTACATTGGCTCCCTGTAAAATTCAGAATAAAATTCAAGATACTGCTCCTCACATCTAAAGCCCTTAACAATCAAGCCCCTTCATATATCAAAGACCTGATAACACCGTACTATCCAAATAGATCACTTCGTTCCCAAAACACAGGCTCTCTTGCAGTTCCAAGAGTCTGTAAGAGTAGAACATGAGGTAGAGCATTCAGCTACCAGGCTCCTCTCCTGTGGAACCAGCTCCCACTCTGGACTCTGGAATTGAATTTTGTAAAGCTGTTTCTCTGAAAACAGGTAGTGTCGCCAAAAACAACAATTTGACTGGTCAGGATTCTTGCACCATTTAAAAGTCCAATTAAATGCTTTTTAAGACCCTTCTAAGATCTTCAATAAATTTTACACCCAAAAAATTTAAAAGAAATCAGAATAATAACATTGAGTGGGGGTAACTATTGGAGCTATTTACTGTTTTCTTAGTGTTTGTTCGTGTTTAATAGTTAAACATTCAGTTTTATGTGTTTAATATACCTAGTGAGATTATGCCTTTAGAATGATAGTCATAGAAAACAATAGTGATATTGTATTCTGGAGTACCAGTGCAACCTGATTGGGCCGCAGGTATCACCTCATGCCAATAGTGACAAGGGCACTAGCAGAACACAAAATTAGAGAAGAATCACTCAGGAAGGATAAGTAAAGAGTTGTCTGTTGCCATCCAGTGCAAAACCATTGGGGGTTGTCTTGCTTTTGCCTCTCTATTGTTTTGACTTTTTTTTGCAATAAAGCAGGTCAAATTGATTCACATCACTTGTGCTTTCCAAAGAGACATCATTGTGGATTTCAGGAGAACCAGGAAGACCACACCTACCCCTCTTCACATAAATGGTGAGGAAGTGGAGAGTGTGAATGACATCAAATTCCTGGGAATCCACATCACAAAGGATCTGACGTGGGCCCTTTACACCTCCCACCTGGTGAAGAAAGCTCAACAGTGGCTCTTCTTTTTGAGGAAAATCAAAAAAGCACAACCCCCCGCACAAACAGACTGAGAAACAGCTTCTTCCCCAGAGCTGTAGCCTCCATCACCCCCTGAACTGTTTTTAAAAAAAATTGTATTCAACTGTTTACATTGCACTATTGCACACTGCACTATCTGCACATTTTAAACCTGCTGTACATTTTATTTGTCATTGAACAGGGTGTACAATGATACGTCCCTGAAGTTCAACTGACTTGATGTAATACTGTGACGATTAAGCATTCCCTTAATCTTTTTGAGCAGTGTATATCTGGTTAGGCGGGCATAGGCAGCCAGGCACCGGGATGGGTTCATGGTTTTTTATCAGGGTAAGAGAGACAGCAGATGCCATTGCCATATGTTTGTTTGCAAAAATATAAAAGTAAGGTACACAAAATTTGACGCCTGCCTGGACAATGGAGTTATTCCCTGCGTAAGATTTACCCCTAAGGCTGTTTGATTTTCAGATATTTTTCTTTTGCTTTTTTAATCAAGTTTGAGGACAAATCGCCATTATAGTAACCTTTTCTGACAGAGTGGTCAAAATATGAAGACATTAGAGGAAAATTACTAACAATTACTTTACACACACATTATATATACAAATACACACAAGTGTATGTTTTTCTGTTGTTAATATCCTGTTCATTTATGCCAATTGTTATTACCATTGTTGTTCAATTATTATTGGTCTGTTTGTATATTAGGTTGTTGTACAACGTTATGGTCATTTCTGCCAATAAAGCTTCATTGACTTTAACATAAAACATGTTTTTTGATCACATGACTATTATGCTGCACAAAAATGGATTGCTCACTCATCCTTTACATACACTTCATGACCACACGAAAGTTCTGATTTGCCATGGCGGGCAGAAGGGATAAACACAGGCTACCTCCCAGAAGTGCGGGGTGGTAATGTAAGTGTTCATAAAAATGTTTTCTCTAAAACTACAATGTATCCTAAAGGAATATAATTAATACATTACTGTGTCTTACTGCTACACACTGCTTCTTTCTTAAATTTGCAGATGTTTGATTGTGTTAAGAAGCTACACTGTTGAATGGTGCACACACTCCAAACGACATTGAGAGACATAACTGTCAGGCATTAAAGGGCTCATTGCAGTTCAAGAGCTGACCACTGATTTGCAAAACTAAGAATTGTGTGGTGCTGTGTCGTGCTCTGCCCACATGAACACTGAATATTCAGCTTAGAAGAAATCAACACCCATCGGTGTAACGCTATTAAAAGCATGAAACTGGCAGTGTCTCACGACCAAAGATGTTTCTTGTGGTAGGACAGTCTGTGTAAAAATGTACAAATACTTTGCAGACAATTTATGGTAACTTTTTAAGGTGCCGCAGGAACCCTGCCGGTAACTCAACTAGAACAGTGAAATCATGGTCTGGACAGTTACAAAATGAGCTGTCACATGTTTAAAGACAGTTAGGTTGCATTTCAGACAAGTTTACATTTGTAATCAGCATTATACCTTGGATCCATACAGGTCACACATGTTCATGTTTAGATGGGCTGATGTTCGGACAGTAACTCCAGTGGTCTCACACTGCAGCACACAGTTTTCCATGTTCAGAGATCCCTGACGAACACCTGGTAGTTATAAAACAAAAACGAGTCATGTTTCACTACTTATTTTAGACTTAAATACACCAATTGAGCACATTTCCAGTAACAGCGGCAGCAGAAAATGTTTTATATTTACATTTAGTAAGTAGTTATCCAGTTTCTAAACACTTATCTAAGCCTGTTTCAAAGCAAAGGAAAGCAGAGTTGCCATGGGAACACAACAAGTGCCCATGCCTGCTCATGGCAGATTTAAGACAGGTGGAAAATAGTTATGAGTGCACTTTCTACGCAGTCACTCAGACACTGTCTGAAGTAGCCAACTGCTGCATTATCAAATGCGCAGTGTCCAGTGCAAGTTGAGTTAAGACAGGCCAAGCAGGCCTTGCAATCAGCCATCTGCCATCACATTTGTTCAGGCAGGTGTAAATGGGCACTGCATTAGTCACTGTAGACTAAAGGAAACATACAGACCTATTAATTCCACAAACGTCTGTCTGTATGTCAAACACATATCTCGTGAATCATTTATCGCGAAATATAAAGGCTTCACATCTGGCATGTCTTTGGTAAATTGACAGAGGATGTTACAATGCTTTATATCAAGGTAAATTACAGAGCTTATATATTGAAAAGTTGTTAATGTGGGACTGAAGATTGTTTTGATTGCCTAACAGACCACTTTAAAGCAATCAGTTGTATGAGCCACACAAATGAACAACTGGTATGCACTTCAAGGCACTATTCCACAACAAAATATAGCCCAGTCTGAACTGCTAGTCTGCCTTTTACAGTCCCATGCAAAATGAGTGCAAGAACTTTTTCCATTCAATTAAAAGGGATATATAAATCTAGATTAAGCCGTCCAACAACAAAATAGATGAAAACCAGTGTCTTACTATAGACCCCCACACTTTAGAACAGGGGTAATCAATTACAATTCAAATAGGTCCAGTTAAAGAGAATTTCCTCATGCAAAGGTCTGAAACATCATAATATGTGTTTTGATTCAGTGCCATTTGAAGTAGCCTAGTAGTTTAAATGTCTGTATGACAAAATAAAAAAAATACAATTTAACAGTATTTTAACAATATTTATTTTAAAGTTTCAACTTGAAAAGGGAGTCACTCTAATAACAAAATAAGAATGAAAAAATTTCTTTTCTCATTTCAAGACAAATAAGATTTGCAAAAGGCATCTTAAAATAAAGTGAAAAGGTGTAGTTTGAGTTTCACCTTTTCTTCTTTTTTCTTAACTACATTTCACATATGAACAAACTACATGTCGCATATAAACAATCTCAACAAACATTAACAACTAAACACAAGACCAACAGTCCTTTTCTCTTTGTTCCGACTTTTTCTTGTTCAGTGAGATTAGTGAACTCTATCTTGTGCTGCCAGGGTTTACTAATGCAAGAAAAGCTGCGCATGTTAGAATAGAAATTCTCAGTCAAAATCTAATGGGTCTGGGTCCGTATAAAACAGCTTCTAGGTGATCGTCTGAGTTTTTTTCCACTCCAAGTAGCTCTTGGGGTGCGCAAACACCTTCCTTATGATGCGGTGATGCACGTGCAGATTTCGATTTGGTGAGATGTGGACACACGTTAAGCTCAATACTAATAAACAGGTGACCATCTCTCTGTTGTAGCAGTAACTGGGACTCATTAATGCAAGTAATGTCGATCATGACTACAGTGCATTCTCGACAACATTTTGGGATTCTGCATACTAATTCAAGCTCCTCTGAAGTTTTAATTAACAGCTCTTTGTACAGCTCTTCATAAGTTAACAGTTCCAAAAATGAACAAATTCATGCTAATTAGTTTAGTTTTTTTAAACTGGGATGGTTATGATTTAGATAGATTATTAATCGATGGTGTCAGATCGTGAATTTGTCAGTCCTGACTGTGAGTGCCACGTCTCATGTTGTACTAAGTGTGCACAAAATGTTCAAATGCAGCCTCATAAACTCTGGAGTGAAACAACACTAAGTAAACTTCATGTACTGATCAGGTCCTTATAACTTGTGATGAGTGTTGGTGTTTATTAGTTAAAGTGTGCGCAGGTTAGCAGAAGAGTGGAGGGAGGACACAGGAAACGCCAACACAGTACTGCACACTGCAGTCAGGGTTGTGTGTGTGTGTGTGTGCGTGTGTGTGTCACTGTGTGAGTAAGTGGGGGGCCCCAGGGCCTTTGTGTGTGTGTAAACTCCAACTTGCTCCCAGTCTCAAACAAACTAGCTTCAGCAGTAGTAGATGCATCTATACTGTTAACTCCAGCCATCTTGGAATGATTCTGTGGCGAGGTCATGGAGTGTATTGTGAAACAGTGTCGTAAAACATGTTCATTATTTGTAAACTGATTCGCTCAGTTCAGATTTAAAAAAAAACTAACAAAACATGTACAATGAACAGCGTTCATACACAATTTCTTTACCACAGCCTTTCTCAAAGTGTGGTCAGCAGACCACTGGTGGTCCGCGAGGTGAAAAGTAATATATCATGTTTTAAAATTTAAAATGTCAGTGTTTTAATTAAAGTGTTTCTGAAACTGCCTGCGACACATATGTGTTGATATCAAATCAACTAGTATGTAAAATCAAACCAGTGGACCAGTTTGCGACACCGCAGCTGTTTTACGTCAAAATGCCGTAACTTCGGGAATGTGCCTGTGGAAAGCATGGATGTATGGTGCAAAGCTACGTATTAACAATGGATCGTGGCTTAGGACCGGGTCATGTAAAAGAAAAGCAAATGAACATTCACACACGACTGGAAAAGTGGTCAAGTCCCAGTATGATGGTTTAATGCCAGCACGTCATCAAAGCAGATCGCTAAGGTGAAACGAAAATACCACATCGACTACATACTGTAGCCTTCTGGTGTGACAGACGAGACATCGGTTCTCTTTAACTCCACTTTATTTTCTATAACTTATACAGATTACTGTCGGCTGTAACCACGCCAAAAGAACATTCCGAACCTCTCCTTTCCTCTCGCTCCAGTCACACACACCCTTCACCCTTCCTTATTCACGCCCCCAACCTGCTGACAACCGGCCAATGGGGAACCAGCCATGCCATCCCACCCCCACCATTGCTCCAAACGGTCACGTGCCCACCTTTGACACGTCGAATGATGTGGGAAAACACAGTGCTTCAGCAACAACGACACTAAACTGCTTTACCAGATAATGTTTAATGGTGTCAAAAGCAGTGTGACATGCAGGGGAACAGAGTAAAATAGATCCCTTTTTTTCTTCAAAGAATGAAAAGGCTCCACATTTTGGAAATGTTAGCGGCAAATTGTTGATCCCAAGGTTTTTAGGTTGTTGGGGACTGGAAAGTTGCACACAGCCTCATATGTCTAAGAAATCTCAGAGATGTTCTGAACAGCTTGCTTTTTAATGGTGACAGAAAGTGCCAGAACTTTGGAGTTTGTAAATGAAAGCTTGCGCATTATATAAGTGTTGTTCCCAAGACGGTGAGAAAATTATGATGTTTTCCAGGTACACAAAACAAATGCGTATCCATGAGCCTCTGGAATGTAGCAGGGGCATTCTTCAGTCCAAACGGCATGACCTTAAGTTAGAACAGGCCCAGAGGGTAGATGATGGCTGGAGCTGAGCAGTAGAGCAGTTGCAGGGGGTTGGCGGTTCAATCCCAGTTCAATTCCGTCTGCATGCCCGTCATAGAAAAAAGTTCTGCCCATAGATGCGCTTTGAGTCATCGAGACTAGAAAAGGGCTATATAAATACAGACCATTTACCATATCTAGTATCTCCTAGGTAGCAGGGGTAGGCATCAATGACTCAGTACATCCCACCTTTGTTGTACAAACATCAATGTGGCTGAGTTGCAGGCGAAAAATGAGTTCCTCAAAAATGTACACTGCTTGTCCAGAGTTTCATACAAGCGTTCAAAGCGTTGCTCATAAGCTGTGGAGAATGACTAATTAAGTTGTAACTTTGTTTTGAACTTCCTCCTTGTGTATCCATGTGTATGAAATTTCTCCTCCCAAGTTGTTTTGATCCACACCGTTTGAGTCCAGAGAAAAGGGTATTTCCTCCAAATCCTCCAACTGACGTACCACATGGATTTTGGAGGAGGTGGGGAATGGTTGGGTAGGAAGTGAGGAAAATCCTGAGCAGAAGAGGAAGGTAGGAAAAGAGAGTGGCAACTACTTTTTGCTTGCCAAAAGAGCTAAAAGTCCAGGGTTAGTGAATATGTGAATATTTTTATATACAATGTATGTACAGGGAACTCATGTTACCATCCATGGTCAGTTAGTCGGGCATATGGCGTCAGCCTTTAACTCTGTCAGGGCTGGCAGCTCCACTGGACTGGACTTATCTCATGACTGCTGAGAAGAGATGTCTGCTCCCTAGGAGCAACTTTATGACGCGTTTTTTTAAGCTTAAATAGTCACTTGCGTGTCATAGTTCAGATTACTTAGGGCTGTGGTCTGGGGTTTTCATCAAACTATTGAATGACTATGGGTGTGACTGTAGAAAATGCAAATGAACCCTCTGAAAGCCAGTAAGAGAGCGAGTGAGAGAGAAACCGGTAGAAAAAAAATAAAACATAAAATCATGATGTGGCAATAAATGTTAGTATTGTGGTGGGGGGCCACAAACAACCCAATGTATGGAGAACACTGAGGAATATAAAAATAACTGTGGTTCATTACGAAATTGTAGTGGGTCAGAAGATGTTAGCTGAGTAGGTGGTCCGGCATTCACACAACTTTAAGACATTGGGCCCCAGACCACCTCCGAATATGGTCTGAGTGACTGGATCCTTACTGCATCTAGGATTTGTTAACACGTGTACCTTGAACTGTCCACTTGGATCACCTGAGATGCATGTTAACAAGGTCAGCCTTTCAGATTTCAGTGTTAGGCTCAGAGTTTGTTTAAAGGTACAGTGTGTAGAATTTTGTGATATCTATAGTGTTGAAATTGCATGTTGCAGCTGAACACCCCTCACCTCACCCTCTCCTTCCAAACATGAAAAAGAACCTGTGGATGCCTTCAGTTGTCATTAAAACTCAAAAAGTGTTTAGTTTGTCCAGTCTGGACTAATGTTTAAAACATGGCGGCCTCCGTAGAGAGGGTACCCTCGATGTAAATATAAAGTATTTGAAAATAAAGGGCCTTTTCTGGGGTAAAGAAAACTACAATTCATACAATTTAGATAAAACGAACTAGTGAAAACATCATGAGGATTATTCTACATGAAAATTCTGCACCTAAATCTTACACATTGGACCTTTAACCCCTTTTAAACAGGGCCATGGGCAGATTTCTTTACAAAAAACACAGACATCAGTGTTCTACAAGGTTTACACTGAGGTGTCATCATAGTGATAGATGTGCGTTTCATTTCATCTGTACTCACAAAGAATGCCCTCGATAGCATCATGTTGGATAAACTTAATGTTGGACAGTCTGACATCTGCTCCTGTGGATTCGACAAAGGAGTCACCCTTATTTTTCTTCTCAATCACCACATCGTCAGGAAAACCAAAGCCTGGCACAGACATTCAACACAGGAACAAAGAAATCTGTCAGTATACGGCATAGGCTGTTATATCCAAATATTTTCTGTCATTTACTGAAACAGGGAGCGAATTGTTTTTGTCAGGTTGAAACACTGTAACATCAAGTAATTTGCACAATACTGTCAAAAGCCAAAGACGGAGCTGTACCCCGGCAGTCAACAGCCTTCCTCTCCCAATGCTAATTGCAGTTAACCAGCAAAGCAGAAAGTGGAGTCATGACTCTAGTGTTTTGGTCTCTTTGATGAGAAGAGAGCTTACATTTCAATTATGTACTCCTAGTTTATATCTTTGTCTACCTATGTTTTTCTTACGTTTGGATTCGTGTTTTATGTTGTAGTTTTGCTCCTGGTGTGTTTTTCTTGTCCGACTCTTTCTTTCTGTGTCCCACTCTTTTTCCTGTTTTATTTTGTAGTGTTTGCTCCTTGTGTGTATACCACCTGTCTCTAGTTTGTCATTAGTTCAGTGTGTATTTAAGTCTCTGTGCTTGCCTTGGTCTTTGTCGGGCCCTATGTAGTTGTCTCACCACCCTGTCGTTGTTTCTCCTCCCTCAAGTAAGTTCTCTAGTGTCTCCTTGTGTCTACCCTATTTTTGCTCTGAGCATTTTTGAGTTGACTGCCTTTCGGTTTTTGTGTAAAGAGACCTTCCTGATATTAAGAAACTTTTTGATAAAAACCTTTTTTATTAGGCATATTTGGGTCCAACCGCTCTACTCATTCCCTCAAAAACGTGACAAGTGGGACTGATGATGTCCCATAAAAGTAGAGTGGTTTTCCAGTATTTTGATAATTTGGCAAGTTTTTACTATACTGAGTGCTGAAATATTATTGCATAGGCACTAAATATATTTTTTCCCCACATTTTAATTAATTTGTGCACACCAGGTAAGTGTGGAGTGAGAAGTTGCACCTTGTGTTTATGGGAGGAACTCCCACTGTTAGTTAATTATCTAGCACTGAAAAAGGACAACTCATTGCTAGGACAGTATAATGTCCCTTTTGCTTTTTACTCTTATATACATTAAAGCACCTTGCTGAATATTATAGTATAGTGAATAGTTAATCTGTGGAAAAAATGAATAAGGTGGTGTATAATTCCTCCAGCTATATCACAACTTCAACATTCTTCGATTAATACAACTTTCCTTTCTTTACGGTGACCTTAGGCTTACGATGCAATTTATGTCTTCACAATTTAATATAGATATTCTTCAAATTTTCTTACTGCTCTGATACACACAATATAATTTCAAGCGCTCATGTAGTAAAATGTGGCTTCACTAAATATTTTTCCTCTATGACCACTCCAGGTCCCCATAAGTTTAACCACAATCTCAGTTGCTATATTCATTGGGCATCTGCACAATTTCCTAAGCATACATGCAAGGTTTAATTAAAATCTAATAAGGGGCGTATTAATGGTAAAACTTTGGGTCTATAATTATTGTAAGTTGGCAGGATTTGGGATGATGAAACACATGGTTCATCTTCGTCTCACTCCTTTTAAACAGAATAAAAACTAGGTAAAGAGACTTTGCTTGGCCTCGCAAAGCCTGAAAATCATTTTAATTGAGCTGCTACACTGCAGCTATTTAAAGGTTCATTGTGAAGAATTTAGTGACATCTGGTGGTGAAGTTGCATGTTGCAGCTGAATTTCCCTCACCTCACCAACCCCTTTCAAACATGAATTAGAACCTGTGGAAACCTTCAGTTGTCATAAAAACTCAAACACTGTTGAGTTTGTCCTGTCTGGGCTACTGTAAAAAAAATAAAAATGGTGGCCTCCGTATAGAGGACCCGCTGCTGATGTAAATATAAAGTATCTTAATATAAAGGGCCCATTCTAGTAAAGAAAAACAACAATTAATATAATTTAGCTAAAACACACTGTGAAAACATCACTGGGTTATTTTCTATTCAATTTCAGCAAATAGATCCCTTTAAACTAAATCTTACGCACTGGATCTTTAATTTTTCAGATTAGAATACATTTATAGGTAAGAAAAAACCTGTGGCATGTGGAAAATAACTAAAGAGAAATAGAAATAAAAGAACAAGGTTTTATGATCTCATTGGAAATACGATGTTTTTTTTCTAACCTTCTACAGTTATGGAGTCTGGTATGAAGATGGAGCTATTGACATTGTACATCCCTGGAAGAACAATGACCACATCACCCTGATGACATGAGTCCACCGCTGATACTGGCTCTCTGTGGAACTAAACACATAATTCAGAAGTTAGGACAGTTGCACAACAAGAACTCACCCACTGTCATTCATACATACATACATAGAGTACAGCTTAGAACTTAGTGTGAGGGCTCATTCCCTCTGGCACCACCCTCAGGACAGACTTTAGCGTCAGCTCAACTAATGTTGAGGAGCTAACAGTATAATCCTGTTTAAAATATCCCACACTTTAGCTTTTTGGTCTGTGTAGTGAAGATTTACACATCTGGCTGTACTACATCTCATTTTGTGCATTTAGTCCATTTGGCATGTTTCAGAAGTGGCTTTTTACAGTTTTAAACACATTAACCAACGAACTTACTTTACTGTATGAATTTTCCTTATGAAGCTGATCATGTTTATGGTTTTTATTGTTACAGTTACAGTAATGACCATGAAAAAGGTTATGTCTGAGAAAATTAAAAGCTGCCATCTCCATAGTTTGACACTGATCTTTGCAGATTGAAATCTATTTAATAGGACCCAACCCTAGTTATATTCAATATGTGTAATTATGTTGGTGACCTGGATCTCAGTGTCCCCACAGGAGCACAGAGGCAATAGCGTTGAAGTGAGGAGGGACTGGAGCTGGACGGTGCTGCAGGAGGCTGTGACAACATGGACCACCTTTATACCAGATGCTCTGGGTCCACGACTCTGCACGCAATGCTGCCTGGGATTACCTTTATAGCCCAACACATACCTAGGCAAGAGGCGATAGGTGCAAAAGTAAGAAGGGCTTAATGAAAGAGACAGTAGTGGTGATGTTGCAGGGTTTTTGTGAAATGGATTGTGGAGACACAGATCTACCTCAACAAAGGGTTTTCAATTATGTGCAGTTTACGTTTGAACTTCTCCAGTTCCTCATAGAGCTTGAGACCCTCCACCATTGACACACTGTCAAGCTCAGAGTCTGAGTCGGGGCTAAGGACACTGCGCAGCACAGAGAACTGCTGAAAGCACTGGGAGCATTTCTCCAATAAAGATTGGTATTCTGCCACCAGGCCTGCCGGGACTCTATCCTCTAAGATATCGTAGTACCTGAAACAAGACACATTTTCCAGCAAGATTAATGGGAATGAACAAACACTTATCATTACAAAGAAACAAATCAAAGAATCACATGGCGTACTCACAGCCTGAGACGAGGCTCCACACAACGAACAAAGTAGTCAAAGTCATCATCTTCATCTTCCTCATCCCACTGCCTCCAGACGTGCTTATAGAAAAACCTGAAGGGGCATTTGGTTATGCAGCAGTGGGATGCATAGATTTAGCACATATAAAACAGAATCAGAATATACAAATATAAAAACAACTAATTAAAAAGTATGTAAATAACTACCTGAAAGGGGTTTCGGAGGGAAATGGTAGAGGGTATAAGGGAGTGTTTGAATCTATTGGTTCTAGTTGTGAGGATGGTACCAAATGAATCTGTGACTATAACTTAAGTGCGCAAAGACTCAATAATTGATCAATTATGTCATTAAGGTCAAACTTGATTTTTGAGTAACCTGAGGCCAAAGAGACACAGTTGGCTTTGTGGAATGGCATATGTGGGCAGGTAACTTAAAATACATGTACAATTGCAAACAAGTAAACTCCAGGTATAGCATCAGTTCAGCAGTCCCACCTGAGGTGCTCCAGAGCAAGGGCGGTCTGATCAAAGTCCCCTGACTCTTCATAGACAACATGCAGCTCCTGCAGTGGGATTTTGTGCTGGGTGGCCTCTAGCAGAGAGTTCATGGCTTCTTCGGTGAGTTCACATCCTCTGGTGTCACACTGCATAGGCAGCACCAGCCTAACACATGCCTTCAGATCCTTCAGGATCACATCACGCACCTGAAATCATGAACAGCTCTTCAGCACTCACACCTGAAATCGTCAGCACTCATAACTGTAATCAACATTTTATAGTGCCTTTTCAGGTGTATCTTCACTTCCAGATATCAGGGTAATCTCTAAAACTTTCAAAAATAAAATGTAACAGTTTGGGTAAATTTCCAAAACAAAATTACGTTTTCACTTTTTGCTTTTAATAAGTGCAACAGCATTAATATCTATATAGGGCTGGGGGTAGGTAGGGCTGGGTGATAAAACAATAAAGATAATTAGTGAGTGAATGCTAAATGGCTGTAACTCCATTCTAGCCATTTCGCATTCACTCAAAAGGTGAATATGAGGCTCATAGTGGGAGTTTTACCCGGTGCCATCTTGCCGGTTCCTGACTCCTTCTAGTTCCTGGCTAACCCAACTCAGCTGAGGTTGGCTGAATGAAGACTGACAGCTGAGCCATACCCACAGAGCTTATCTGGTTAGCTCAGGCTAAGGAGCTAGGCTACATGCTACCCGCTTTCCCTAACCGGCTTGCACAGGTCTTGTTGCTTCCGGATGGTCGCGGTCGTCCCATCGAACTTAACTAGAGGTAAGTTAGCCTGAAACTATACAGCAAAACCTATTGATTTATCTATTATCATAATCATACTACATATGCTTACATGTGTCAAG